TATATATATATATATATATATGTATCCTAAAAACATCACTGCCCTCATCAAGTCAAAGGAAAAGCTGTCGTTGGAGTCGCACCAGCAATTATGCATCAGCCGGCTGCCCACCCTGGCCGGTCGAGTGGAGAGCCAAACTGCTTAGAATTTTATGATATTTTGTCTATTTTTATTATGTGACCCAAATTCTCTGGGTCTCATTTATCTCATAAGAAAATTGTAAGCATACAGATTGAGATTTATAAACATACTCTAAATATTGAATTAGAAACTTCCACATTATGATATTTTGTATCAGCCTTTAGATTACAATCTGTGTGCTCTTGTTTAATTGATTCCCTTCTAATTATTTCTTTTACAGGGGACTTGCTAAAGTTTGTATATACGACATTTTATTTTCTACAAACAAACTCACTTTTCTCCCTAAACACTAAACCCTAAACCCTAACCTATTAAAGTTTGTAAGGACCCCCCTTTATTTTATACAAACTAACTCACTTTTCCCCGGCTTTAATTTTATGTTAGCTAAAGCGCTTTGTTTGTAATTTCTTATTTGACAGTGAATTCTTCTTCTCTACCTGTGATTTTTCTCTATCTTAGAGTTGTTCAGAAAATATTATTTTTTCTTTTGTTTATTTTAATGTATATATGTTGCATCAATTCAATATCAAGTTAAAACAAGTAGTATTAGTGATTAACTTTTGATCTCAATGATAACAGCAATGAAGTACGATATCCCTCTTTTAGATTGTAATACCATATTTTTGCTTTAATAGTATAAGATATGTATTGTCTTAATGTAGATGAATCTAGATGATACACTACTTGAGTTTGAAAGGATGCCCTCATCATGAATGCTAGAGTAAAAATTATATAATTATCTAAAGGCCTTTCTCAAATTCATCTTCATTTTACAATCATATTTTATAGAATATTTTGAAGGAGAAATCATTATTGTGTTATATTTGAAATTAGAGCAATTGAGCGTGTTGAAAAGTGTCACCACTATTTCACACTTGAAGCATCATTTGTTCTCTAACAAGATGATAAAATGTGCATCTTTTGTATATTACTTTACTGTGAAACCAACTTAAACATTGAGATACATTTTGGTGTAATGGTGGAATTTTGATAGAAATCCCAAAGTTAAGCATGATCACATGGGAGCACTCTTGGGATTTGTGACCTCCTGCGAAGTTACACCAACGAGACAAATTGCAAGGCCATTAGGCCAAAGCGGACAATACTTTAATGGGTGAGAGTTTATGCTGTCACAAATGATATTAGAGCATGCCGGAAGATGTAAGCTAAGTACCATAAAAACCAAAGTGTTAAGTCATGGGACCTACCTCTGAACCCTATATGGGACAAAGTGCTATATGGCTGGGGCCAATTGTAGAATTTGCAGGGTATACCTCTAGAGTTATATCTATATAGTAGATGATTTAATAAATATGATTGCAAGACAGATCAAGAATTTATTTCGTCATTGCTCGCGAGCTCCATCTCCATCGTAAGGATTTATCATATTTACTGGATTTGATAAATCCTATTTAGCATTAATCGAGGTTGCAGCCAAACACAGTCTAAATAGTTAAGTCATGTGTGTGTAAGGTTGGTGATGAGTAGGGGAGAAGATAATAGGAATTATATTGTGAAAAGAAAAAGTAAAAAGTTATTCAAAGCATTGGTATTTTGTCTTTGAAATAAGGAAAATAATAATAATAATAATAATAAGCCTTTAGAGGTTACTTGATTTTTCCTCTTACAAAGTTGTTAGAACACTTGAACTTTGAAAATCTTAAAATGTATTAATTAATTGAAATATTTAAAATATTATTTGTTGCGGCAAAGAAGAGTTGCAAAGGAAGTCTGAGAGTAGCGCCGAGTTCTAGTCAAGTTAAAAACGTTGTAATAGTGATTGGCAATATTGGCATATTACTTGGCTATTTATTATTATTACTATTATTAGATATATATATCCAAACTCACAATTTCTGGATAACGCTTTTTTAATTAAATAGCGCTTTTTAGTCCAACCTGCAAAATATTTTAAATTTTCTAGATTTGAATTCTACTAATTTCTTTTAGTTATATATATATATATATATATAAGAGATAGCATATAAGGAAGAAATATTAAATTTCTTCTAGCATCTATGGTAGAATATGAACACAGTTGATTACTAGGTTTAAAAAATCATATATATATATATAAGGAATGACCTAGGCTATTATATGAGCATCAGTCATCCCCAATTCGCCTAATAATTTGAGTAACACACCCTCCACCGGGAGGAATCGAATCCCGGACCATAGGTAACTTACAACTGACAAGCAGATGACTGACCAACTGATCTGAGTACGCTGTGTGCGCGTGCGTACGCGCGCGCACACACGCACACACACATGTATATATCAAACAAATTTGTAAGAATATCTAATATTCATTTTTTTTGTGTGAGGAATAATTGTCAAATATTGCTGTATATTTTAAATTGGGATTGTTAAATCCTAAATGGTATAAAATGTTGAACAATCTATTGTACATCTAAATATCCCTGAATTTTAACACCATAGACTTGCTCAAAATCTTGGTCGACATGAATTAATTCGAGCTAGCATAAAATCTCACAAACTTATAATATGAACACCCTCAAACTAGTTAAGGGTCAGGAGCATTCATCAAAGCTCAAGTCTATACTTCCAAGAAAAAAACATATTCGCCCAAACTAAAACAATTTGTCAAGCTGGTGACTTTATCAACGAAGATTATGACATGTTTTTGGAAAATTGACAAAAAAGACGAAGTATTCAATTCTATTAAAATAGCTAAATATGCATAATTCTTTGTATCAGAATCTTTATTGAGAAATCTTGGAGTTTTGCATTGTCAATCTTCACTTTCTCCCTTTCATATTCTCTTCTCTATACTTTCAATTAAGAAAATGATATTGCTATAAGAATTTAATCTAAGATGGTAACTTAGTTTCAAGTTGACTAATCTCAAAGTTTTTTCTTAAATCAACATTAGAAGAACTTTTTCCTAACTTTATACTTGATTAATGAAAAAGAAGGTAGACTAATTAAAATTTTAGATAAGAGTGATCTTAATTGAGGATTACATTTAAAAAATTAAAAGATTGATCAGTTCAATAGAAGCCAAAAAAGATCCCAAGGTACACAAACAACATGCGCTTAAAGAAGTTATCATTCCATCTTCTGATTGGAGTTACACTTTAAGGGAAATATATCTAATGAACCTAATGGCAATCCCTTATACTTCAAAAAACAAAATAAACAATATTCAAATTTTTGCAGAATTATTAAGTTAATGAAATTCATCTTAGATGTTTTGGTCACATTAAACGTCCGTCGACCACATTAAACGTCGACCATCTGATGATCCGATAAGGAGAGTAGATGTTTTAGATTCAACTTGTGTTAAGAAAGACAGAGGTAGACCAATGCAGACTTGGGCTTATTGTATTAAAAATGATTTTAATTTACTAGAACTAAATGAAAATATGACACTAAATAGGACACAATGGAGAAAAAGGATTCATGTAGCCGACCCCACATATTGGGATTAAGGCTTGTTGTTCTTGTTGTTGTTGTTGTATTAAGTTAATCAAAGTTCTGTATTCTAAATGTTGATTCTTTTGATTAATGTAAAGTTGCTTAAATTCAATATTCAAATAATGAAACTCAAGCATATTAGTTTCTATTTTTCTTATTTAGTTTTAAAGTTCCTTCTTCCAAGAACCTAAAAAGCTTCAATCATGTTATATTTAAAAAGTAGTGGGATTAGCTCAATTTATATTAGTAGTTATAAAAGCAAAATTGCA